GGTAGCACATGCCTGTGGTCCCAGGTACTCAGGAGGCTGAAGTGGGAGGATCACTTGGGCCTAGCAGTTCAGGGATACAGTGAGCTGTGATCATGCCACTGCACTTTAGCTTGGGCAACAGAGCAAGACCCTGTCTCAAAAAAAAAAGAAAGGAAGGAAAGAAAGGAAGGAAGGAAAGGAAAGGGAAGGGAAGAGGGAAAGGAAGGGAAGGGAAGGGAAGGGAAGAGGAGGGAAGGGGAGGGAAGGGGAGGGAAGGGAAGGGGAGGGGAAGGGAGGGGAAGGGGGGGAGAGGGGAGGGGGAGGGGAGGGGAGGGAAGAAGGGCAGGGCCTCAGGCTCATAGCCCTCAGTAGGTAATGACATCTGATGTTTTTATGGTTAGCTTTTGTTTATGGAATTGATACTGATTTTCCATTTTCAATTGTGGTATAAAGTTTCTCTTTTAAGTATCTTTGTTTAATACTTAAGATTGGTTAGTTTTAAGAAAAGTATGAAATCAGTAATATCACAGATATGGAAAACATTGTGAAGATGGGATGTGCATGAGATGTGTCTTAGTTATCTAATGCTATATAACAAACGATCCCCAAATTTAGCAGCTTGAAACAAACATTTACAGTCTCACAGTTTCTGGCAGCTGCTAAGGACAAACTGGCCAGCACTTGATCATGTGGCCACCCCTGGCTGCAAATAAGACTGGAAAAGGAGGTCTTTATTATGGGTAGCCTTGAGCCCAGGTCTAAATAGAGAGTGTGTTAACATCTAAGAGGGCAAGAGCAGATGCTGGGAACAAGTGGCACCAGGAAACCGGAGAAGTGGGGCATCTTTAGAGGGTCCCTCATCAGATAATCCCCACCCATAACCACTGAGAAAGCTTATTTTTTAAAACTTAAAACAATTTTTTTTTTTTTTTTTTGAGATGGAGTCTTGCTCTGTCGCCCAGGTTGGAGTGCAGTGGTGTGATCTCGGCTCACTGCAACCTCCACCTCCCAGGTTCAAGTAATTCTCCTGCCTCAGTCTCCCAAGTAGCTGGGATTACAGGGACACGCCACTAGGCCTGGCTAATTTTTGTAATTTTAGTAGAGACGGGGGTTTCACCATGTTGGCCAGGCTGGTCTTGAACTTGAATTCAAAATCACTTGAGGTCTGACCACAAGTGGTCTGCCTACCTCGGCCTCCCAAAGTGCTGGGATTACAGGCATGAGCCACTGTGTCTGGCCTATTAAAATTATTTTTAATTGTGGCAAAATACACATAAAATCTACCATCTTGATCATTTTTAAGTGTACAATTCACTAATGTTAAGTATATTCACACTGTTATATAATCAATCTCCAGAACTTTTTCCTCTCCTAAAACACTCTATCCCCATTGGACAATTCCCTCTTTCCCTCTCCACCAAGCTTTTGGCAACCACCATTCCATTGTCTGCCTCTAGGAATTTGACTGTTCTGCCTCATATGAGTGGAATCGTCAGTATTTGACTGGCTTTTTTCACTTACCCTAATGGCCCTTAGAATTCATCTGTGTTGTTGCATGTGTCAGATCAAGACTAAATAAAATTCCAGGCCGGGTGCAGTGGCTCACACCGGTAATCCCAGCACTTTGGGAGGCCAAGGCGGGTGGATCACCTAAGGACACGAGTTCCAGACCAGCCTGGCCAACATGATGAAACCCTGTCTCTACTAAAAATACAAGAATAGCCAGGTACGGTGGCAGGCGCCTGTAATCCCAGCTACTCTGGAGGCTGAGGCAGGAGAGTTGCTTGAACCCAGGGGGCGGAGGTTGCAGGGGCAAGATCACGCCACTGCATTCCATCCTGGGCGACAGAGTGAGATTCCATCGCCAAAATAAATAAATGAATAAATAAATAAGCAAGCCAGCTGGGCATGGTGGCGGGAGCCTGTAATCCCAGCTACCCAGGAGGCTGAGGCAGGAGAATCACTTGAACCCAGGAGGCAGAGGTTGCAGTGTGCCAATGTTGCGCCGTGGCACTCCAGCCTGGGTGACAGAGTGAGACTCCATCTCCAAAAAAAAAAGACTAAATGAAATTCCATTGTATGTATATGCAACATTTTTCTTATCCATGTATCTGTTGATAGACACTTCCACCTTTTGGCTGTTGTGATTTATGCTGCTATGTTTCTGTCCGTCTGTTTGTTTGTTTGTTTTTGAGACAGCGTGTCACTCTTTTGCCCAGGCTACAGTGCCATAATGTGATCATGGCTCACTGTAGCCTTAACCTCCTGGGCTCAAGCATTCCTCCCACCTCAGCTTCCTGAGTAGCTGGGCCTCTAGGCACACGCCACCACATCTGGCTAATTTTTGTATTTTTTGTAGAGACAAGATTTCACCTGTTGTCCAGGCTGGTCTTGAACACCTGGACTCGAGCGATCCGCCTTGCCTCAGCCTCCCAAAGTGCTGGGATTAAAGGCATGAGCCACCACGCCAGGCCTGATTTATGTTGCTACGAACGCAGGTGTGCAAATATCTCTCTGAGACCCTGTTTTCAGTTCTTTCGGGTATATAAGCAGAAGTGGATTGCTGGGTCATATGGTAATTCTATTTTTCAATGTTTGAGGAACTGCCATATTGTTTTCCACAGTGGCAGCACCATTTTGCATTCCCAGCAGTGTACCAGAGTTCCAGCAGTTTCTCAACATCCTGACATACACTTTTCTTCTCCTCCTCTTCCTTCCCCTCCTGCCCCCTCCCGCTTCCCCTCCTCCTCCATCTCCCAGGCTGGAATGCGGTAGTATGATCATAGCTCACTGCAGCATTCAAACTCCAGAGCTTAAGCAGTCCTCCCACATTGCCTCCTAAGTAGATAGGACTATAGATGCACATCGCCACACCCAGCTAATTTAAAAAATATTTTTTTGTAGAGACAAGGTCTTGCTACATTGCCCAGGATGGTCTTGGACTACTGCCTTCAGGAGTTCCTCCCGCCTCAGCCTCCCAAAGTGCTGGGATTACAGACATGAGCCACCATGCCCGGCCTCTTTGTTGTTGTTGTTCAGTAGGAGCTGTTCTGGTGTTTGTCAGATGGTATTTCATCAGGGTTCTGATACTGCATTTTCCTAATGATTAGCGATGTCAAGTATCTTTTCATGTGCTTATTGGCCATTTGTATGTCTTTGGAGAAATGTCTGTTCAAGTCCTTTCCCCATTTTTGAATCAGGTTATTTGTGTTTTATTGTTGTTGTTGAGTTGTTTTAAGACTTGTTAGTGGGTGTTTTCAAGCATACACAAAAGTAGAGCCCTCGAGATCTATCACTGTGTCACTAGTTATCAACACTTTACCAATCTTCTTTACTGCCCTGCCCACACCTCTAAGTTTTTGTCCTGCCCTATTTTAAAGTAAATCCCAGACATCAGATCTTTTATCCATAATTATTTCAGACTGATTTTCTTTTTTTTTTTTTTTTTTTTGAGACGGAGTCTTGCTCTGTCACCCAGACTGGAGTGCAGTGGCCGGATCTCAGCTCACTGCAAGCTCCTCCTCTCGGGTTCACGCCATTCTCCTGCCTCAGCCTCCCGAGTAGCTGGGACTACAGGCGCCCGCCACTTCGCCCGGCTAGTTTTTTTTGTATTTTTTAGTAGAGATGGGGTTTCACCGTGTTAGCCAGGATGGTCTCGATCTCCTGACCTCGTGATCCACCCGTCTCGGCCTCCCAAAGTGCTGGGATTACAGGCTTGAGCCACCGCGCCCGGCCTCAGACTGATTTTCTAACAGAAGACTGTTTCAGAAGTATAAACCAATACAGTTATCACACCTAGCAAAATGAATTTTTTTTTTTTTTTTTTGAGACAGGGTCTGGCTCTGTCACCCAGGCTGGAGTATGGTGGTGCAATCTCAGCTCACTGCAACCTCTGCCTCCCAGGCTCAGGTGACCCTCCTACTTCAGCCTCCCGAGTAGCTGGAACCACAGGCATGTACCACCATACATGGCTAATTTTTTTTTTTTTTTTTTTTTTTTTTTTTTTTTGTAGAGTCGAGGTCTCCCTATGTTGCCCAGGCTGGTCTCAAACTCCTGGGCTCAAGTGATCCTCCTACCTCGTCATCCTCCCAAAATACTGGGATTACAGGCGTAAACCGCCATGCCCGACTGGTTTCTTATAATTATCTTATACTCAGTTCATGTTCAGTTTTCCCCAATTGTCTTAAAATGTCTTTTTACTGAATTGTTTGTTGTAGGCGAGGTCCACATCCTGCTTTTGTGCTGATGTTTCTTAAATCTCTCTTAATCCAGAAACCCCACACCCCCATGTTATACGTTTGTAGAAGAAACATTTTCACTTGGCTGCACGAACTCCCACATCGTAAATGTCTGATTTTATAAACTGCTCCAACAAGTTGATGTGGAAGAACAAATTGGGAGTGGAGGGGCGGGGCTGTGGGCAGGTAGAACAGGAAGGAGGCTAGAAGGAGGGGCAGTGGAGGGGGCAGAGGTGGGCTGATGTTGGGTGTTTAAAAGGTGGAGCTTTCAAATTAATAATAATAATAAAAAAGGCCAGGCATGGTGGCTCATGCCTATAATCCCAGCACTTTAGGAGGCCAAGGTGGGTGGATCACCTGAGGTCAGGAGTTCGAGACCAGCCCGGCCAACATGATGCAACCTCATCTCTATTAAAAATACAAAAATTAACCGGGCGTGGTGGCGTGCGCCTGTAGTCCCAGCTACTCAGGAGGCTGAGGCAGGAGAATCGCTTGAACCCAGGTGGCGGAGGTTGTAGTGAGCCAAGATTGTGCCATTGCACTCCAGCCTGGGTGACAAGTGCAAAACCCCGTCTCACAAAATAATATTACTAAAAGACGAAGCTGAAGAAAGGGTTGTAGTTGTGTGTATGAGATAGAGAAAGCCTGGGCACAAGACTGGTCTACTTCCTGGCCCTAGGGAGGCACAGGCTTGGAGCCCAGAGACCTCCAGGGTGGGTATCCTCTGGGAGGGATGAGTCTGAACCTTGTAACACTGACCCCGCCCCCCAACCACCCATGCAGGTTCCCACTGAAGGATGGTCCCCGGCTGCAGGCCTGGCTGCGGCACATGGGCCGTGAGCACTGGGTGCCCAGCTGCCACCAGCACTTGTGCAGTGAGCACTTCACGCCCTCCTGCTTCCAGTGGCGCTGGGGTGTGCGCTACCTGCGGCCTGATGCAGTGCCCTCCATCTTCTCCCAGGCACCACCTGCCAAGGTGAGCACCAGGAGGTCCTGCTGCTGGAATCCGAACCCCAGACCTCCCCTCCTAAGGGAAGTCCCTCCTTGAGTCTGACCTTTGGCCCTCCCCTCCTGACGACACTTCCTCCCTGAGGTCCGGCCTTACCTAGGCAAGTCCCCCTTGGAAACAGACCCTCAATCCTTTTCCTCCTGAGTTGAAGTCTGGCCGTGGCACCCCTGCACCCTGTGCCTTGTCTTCCAGAGTCAGCAGAGGACTCGACGCACCCAGAAGCCAGTCTCGCCACCACCTCCCCTGCAGGAGAAAACACCCCTGCCCCAGGGCCCTGCCATCCCAGTCTCTGACCCAGTGCGCCTAGTGGTGCTGGACCCCACATCGGGGAGCCCCGAGACTGCGGCCACCATGCTCCTGACCCCCCTGGCCCCTGCGGCCACTCCTGAGGGGTCACAACCTGAAGTCCCTGCCCAACAGGCCCAGACTGGGCTGGGCTCAGTGCTGGGAGCACTGCAACGCCGGGTGCAGAGGCTACAACGGTGCCAGGAGCAGCACCAGGCGCAGCTGCAGGCGCTGGAACGGCTGGCACAGCAGCTGCATGGGGAGAGCCTGCTGGCACGGGCATGCCGGGGTCTGCAGCGCCTGGTGAGTGGCACCCCAGCCTGGCAGCCCCATCCATGGGTGCTCGCCTGGCCTGCAGTGTGTTTTCATTTTGTCTAGGATCCCCTATTCAAAAATCAGAACATTCACCCGTGTTTCCAAATTTCTGGCTTGCCCAGGCTCAGTGGCTCACGCCTGTCATCCCAACACTTTGGGAGGCCAAGGCAGGAGGATTGCTGGAGGCCAGGAGTTCGAGACCAGCCTGGACAACATAGCAAGACACTGTCTCTACAGAAAATTAAAACAAATTTCTAGGTTTTCTTGAAAAACAAAATTAACCTGGCAATGCCAAGCAACTATTGGTTGGAGCTGAGTAATGATTGTTCCATTTACTAATACTAAATACTTAACATTTGAGAAGCTCTTACTGTCTGCCAGACACAGAGTTATAACATAGTGAGTTGAAAACTCACCGTGATGCTTTGAGCTGGAGCTACAAGGTTGTTTTTCTTTTCTTTTCTATTCCTTTTTTTTTTTTTTTTTTTTTTTTTTTTGAGACGGAGTCTTGCTCTGTTGCTCAGGCTGGAATGCAGTGGCAGTGGCGTGATCTCTGCTCACTGCAAGCTCCACCTCCCAGGTTCAAGCGATTCTCCTGCCTTAGCCTCACAAGTAGCTGGGACTACAGGTGCCCGCCACCATACCCAGCTAATTTTTTGTATTTTTGTTACAGACGGAGTTTCACCATATTAGCCAGAATGGTCTCGATGTGCTCACCTCGTGATCCACCTGCCTTGGCATCCCAAAATGCTGGGATTACAGGCATGAGCCACCGTGCCTGACCGCTACAAGGTTAATTTTTTAAAAATGCAGTGGCTAACGTCTATAATCCTAGCACTTTGGGAGGCCAAGGTGGGCAGATTGCTTGAACCTAGGAGTTCAAGACCAGCCTAGACAACATGGTGAGACTGTGTCTCACTGAAACACAAAAATTAACGTGGTGGGCACCTGTGGTCCCAGCTACTTGGGAGCCTGAGGCAGGAAGATCCCTTGAGCCCAGGAGGCAGAGACTGCAGTGAGCCAAGATCGCACCACTGCACTCTAGCCCGGGTAACCAAGCAAGACCTTGTCTCAGAAAACAAACAGAAAACAAAAAAAAAAAAACGCAACCAAGCAAAAAACTCTATAGTCTGGGTGCGGTGGCTTGTGCCCGTAATCCCAGAACTTTTGGAGGCCAAGGCAGGCAGATTGCTTGAGTTCAGGAGTTTGAGACCAGCCTGGGTGACATAGAGAAACCCTATCTCTACTAAAAATACAAAAATTAGTTGGGCATGGTGGCGTGTGCCTGTAATCCCAGCTGCTCGGGAGGCTGAGGGCGGAGAATTGCTTGAACCCGGGAGGCAGAGGTTGCAGTGAGCCAAGACTGTGCCATTGCACTCCAGCCTGGGCGACAAGAGCAAGACTCCATCTCAAAAACCAAACAAACAAAAACCTCATTATAATCTTAATACTGCTGTTGTCTCCATCTTCCAGATGAAAAAATGGAGGCACAGAGCAGTCCAGTAGTGCACCCACAGTCAGGCAGCCAATACATTTCAGGGCCAGGATTCAAACCCAGGTATCTGGCTGCAGAAGAGGCCTGTGAGAGCTTCCTGCCTGGCCCCTATAGAGCTGGAGTTTGCAATCTCTGTAATAGTGTCCTCCAGGCCCTATTTAATCCCTTTTGCCTCTATATTTTACTGCTGGGTGTGTGTGTGTGTGTATGTGTGTGTGTGTGTGTAGGGGAGGAAGTCGAGGAAGGGTGTTATGTCTGTGTGTGGGGGCGGGAGGGAGGAAGTTGAGGAAGGGTCTTATGTCTCTGAAAATCGCAGTTTGACCAAGGCTTTCTCCTGTCTAAAACCCCAGGGCCAAGCTTGAGGTCCCCAGCCTAGCCCCCATGGCTTTCAGAGCCCTGCCTGGATGAGAGAGGTGCCCACACAGAGCTCTGAATGCTAGACTCACTGAAAGGGCTCAGGAAGGAGCCCCCACAGTACCTCTGGAGTTAAGGAGTGTCAGATTTTTTTTTTTTTTTTTTTTTTTGAGATGGAGTCTCACTCTGTCGCCCAGGCTGGAGTGCAGTGGCCGGATCTCAGCTCACTGCAAGCTCCGTCTCCCGGGTTCACGCCATTCTCCTGCCTCAGCCTCCCAAGTAGCTGGGACTACAGGCGCCCGCCACCTCGCCCGGCTAATTTTTTGTATTTTTTAGTAGAGACGGGGTTTCACCGTGTTAGCCAGCATGGTCTCGATCTCCTGACCTCGTGATCCACCCATCTCGGCCTCCCAAAGTGCTGGGATTACAGGCTTGAGCCACCGTGCCCGGCCTTTTTTTTTTTTTTTTTTTTTGAGACGGAGTCTCACTCTGTTGCCCAGGCTGGAGTGGAGTGGCGCGATCTCGGCTCACTGCAACCCCTGCCTCTCTGGTTCAAGCAATTCTCCTGTCTCAGCCTCCCAGGCAACTGGGATTACAGGCATGTGCCACCATGTCCAGCTAAGTTTTGTATTTTTAGTAGAGATGGGGTTTTGCCATGTTGGCCAGGCTGGTCCTGAGCTCCTGACCTTAGGTAATCAGCCCACCTTGGGCTCCTATAGTGCTGGGATTACAGGCATGAGCCACCACGCCCAGCCAGGAGTCTCAGATTGATAGTCAGTGGTTTGGACATGACCCACAGATATACTTTGTTTGGCCTCCGCAGTGCTTTAAAATAATTTCTAATGGCCGGGTGCAGTAGCTCACGCCTGTAATCCCAGCACTTTGAGAGGCCAAGGCAGGTAGATCACTTGAACCCAGGGGACTGGGCAACATGGTGAAACCCTGTCTCTACAAGAAATACAAAAAATTAGCCAAGTGTTGCACCTATAGTTCTAGCTATTCGAGAGGCTGAAGTGGGAGTATTGCTTGAGCCCAGAAGGTCAAGGCTTCAATGAGCTGTGATTGTGCTACTGCACTCCAGCTTGGGTGACACTGTGAGACTCTGTCTCAAAAAAAAAAAAAAAGTCTGGTCTTTCCCGAAGGCTCTGCAGATCTAGCAGCACTGGGCTTGGATTCTCAGGTGATAGCAGTCGGCTGGAGCTACAGTGTAGCTGCCTCTGGGGGCTTAAAGTTTGAGACTGTGGCCTGGGGCACAGAGGGACAGTGGGGCAGGGACAGAGCTCAGACTCAGGCCTGGGGCTCTTTGTGGAGCCTGCCAGAGCCCCTGAGCTGACTGCCTCTCTCTGCCTCCTCTCCCATCATTCCAATCTCTGTCTCCTACTCATCTATCCCTACCTTGCAATCTCCTCCCTTTCTAACATTCATTGTCTTTCTCCCCATCATCTCTGTCCCCTACCTGTTTCCCCACCTCCTGATGTCTCTCTTCGTCTGTGTATTTTCTGTCTCCCCCACATCTCTGTGTGTACGTCTGTCTGCCTGCACATCTCTTTTCTCTACATGTGTCTGTGTCTGTCCCCCCGCATTTCTCTTCCCATTTCCCCACCCTTCTTTCCTTTCCCATGAATGTCTCTCTGGCCCTCACATCTGCTTTCCTGTCTCCTCATATCTCTGCCCACATCTCTCTCTCTTTCCTGACACGCCCCACTCCCACCTTTGCCTCCCTGTTCCTCACCATGTCTGTCTGTCTCTCCCACAACTTGCTCCATAATGTTCCCATCTCTACCACTTCTTTGCATTAGACAACGGCCCAGACCCTTGGACCTGAGGAATCCCAAACGTTCACCATCATCTGTGGAGGGCCTGACATAGCAGTGGTCCTTGCCCAGGGCCCTGCACCTGCCACAGTGGATGCCAAGCCGGAGCTCCTGGACACTCGAACCCCCAGTGCATAAGGATCAAGACAGACAATGTTGAGGGACAGAAGATAGAAGATGGAGGAGGAAAGACATTACACATGGGCTTGGCCCCAGCCCCACCACCCACGCCTGGGTAGTAGCAGTGCCTCCCTCAAGGACCTGGGTTCTAGCACCCCACTCCTAGGGATCTCTTGAACCTTAGGGGTGACCTAGGGCCAAGTCTGTCATCAGCCCCCAATCCCCTGGGTACCAGGCTTCTGTCACCCCCAGCTCAGATCTTTGCAAATCAGTACGACAACCTCAGAGCAGAGCAAGGGTTGTTTGTTTGGGAGAATCATACCTGGTTCTTAGGAGCCCCATGCTTTTTGCCAAGCCTGGTACTGAGTTGACGATACCATGGTGAACACAGCTGGGAAAATCCCTGCTCTCATGGTGCTCATTCTACTTGAGTAGACGATGAACTAGTGAACAAATAAACGAGAACACTGCAAACGCGAGCGATGAGTGCTATAAAGACAACAAAAATTCGGTTTGGGCTTGTGGGAGGGCCCTCTAAGGCCATGTTTTAGCAGAAACCTGGGTAATGAGAAGGGGCTGGCCTGGAGGGTTACAGGCTCAGGTTCCAGAGGATGAACAACCCCTGCAGAGAGGGCCTCCCGTCTGGGAGGCAGTGTTGCTATGGAGAAAACCATAGTAGGGAAGGGAGATGTAGCAGGATGAGCCGCAGACAAAACTCAGACACCGAATTAAAGAAGAAAGCCGTTTATTCGGCCGGGAGCGTCAGCAGATTCGCGTCTTAAAAGCAGAGCTCCCCGAGAAAGAAATTCTTGGCCTTTTTAAAGGCTTACAACTTTAAGGGGTCCATGTGAAAGGGTCGTGATAAATCGAGCAAGCGTGGGAAACGTGACTGGGGGCTACATGCATCAGCTAACAACAAAAAGTTTTACAATGCTTTTTTCATACAGTGTCTGGAATTTACAGATAAAACAAGCAGTTTAGGTCAGGGGTTGATGTTACTATTACTTTTTTTTAACTCCTAGGGCCAGATGGTGGTGCCAAGGTTGTCTGGCTATTTATCTTACTTTTGTTTTTTTTCCAACTTTTTGCCTTCTCTTTTTCCTCCTGTCTTGTGAACTAGGCAAGGTGGGGGGAGGAGGGCAGCAGGAGTAGTAGTGGTCTCCTTCCTTAGATGAAGGGGTGCGGTTTTAGAGCAGAGAAGGTGAAAAGGCACCAACAAGTAAGATCCTAAAACAGGGCAGAGAGGGAGCCATGTAGGGATTTGGAGGAAGAACATTCTAGGCATCACAAAGAGCCAGTGCAGGCCAGGCACTGTGGCTCACACCTGTAATCCCAGCACTTTGGGAAGCTGAGGCAGGCAGATCACCTGAGGTCAGGAGTTCGAGACCATCCTGGCCAACATGGCGAAACCCCGTCTCTACTAAAAATATAAAAATTAGCTGGGCGTGGTGGTACAGGCATGTAATCCCAGCTACCCAGGAGGCTGAGGCAGGAAAATCACTTGAACCCGGAAGACAGATGTTGCAGTGAGCAGAGATCATGCCACTACATTCCAGCCTGGGGAACAGAGTGAGACTCCATCTAAAATAAATAAATAAATAAATAATTTTAAAAAGAAAACAAAGCAGAGCCAGTGCAGTGGTCCTGGGGTGGGGAGGAGCAAGGAGGCCACTGTGGCTGGGGTGGAGTGAACAAAAGAGGGTGAGAGGAGGTGAGTGCAGAGATGATAGGGCGGGTTTATATAGGGCCTTGTGGGCTGTGGCTGAGAGCCTTGGCTTCTACCTGGAGTGAGGTGCAGCAGGCAGATCCCTCTGAGGGAAGGAGGGCTCCAAAACGACAGGTCTTCATGGGTCACTGTGGCTGCATGTTGGAGGAGGACGGGGACAGCAGGTAAGAGATTGCTGCCATAGTGTCGGTGGCAGATGATGAAGGATGGACCAGGGTGAGGGCCCAAGGTAGTGGTGGGGAGAGTGAGATTCTGGAAATCTTTTGGAGATGGAGCTACTGGGCCTTTGCATTAGAAGGATGAGGTATTCCAGGCTGTCACCCAGCCCCATCCAGGCTGGGATGATTTGAGGCAGAGCAGGCTACAGTTCCAGGTGGGAAGCCAAGCCATGACAATGGAGCCAGGACCCTGGGCTGGCTTCAGGAGGCCTCCGTAGGGTAGATACAGGTTCCGGGAGAGTTGGAGGGGTTGATCGGCATGTAGCATGGTGATTAAGAAAGCTGGGCACGGTGACTCATGCCTGTAATCGCAGCACTTTGGGTGGTTGGGGCAGGAGGATCCCTTGAGGTCAGGAGTTCAAGACCAGCCTGGGCAACATGGCAAGGCCCTGTCTCTTTAAAAAATTATCCAGAAGTGGTGGCATGCACCTGTGGTCTCAGCTACTCAGGAGGTTGAGGTGGGAGGATGGCTTGAGCCCAGGAGTTTGACGCTGCAGTGAGCCAAAATTGCAACACTGCACTGTAGCCTGGGTGACAGAGTGAGACCCTCTCTAGGAAAAAATAAAAATAAAAAACAGACTTTACAGACTGTCTGGTTTCAAATGTTCGCTCCATCACCTACTCATGTACTTTTGGGCAAGCGGCTTAACCTCTGTGGGCCCCAGTGTGTGAGCCTTGCATTAAAATGGTAAGGATGAGATGATCATGATAGGAGTCTCTAGAAAATCACTTCTCTGAGGCACCCATTATGAATGGTGAGCTTGGAGAAGGGGTCCGGTCTAGGGTCCTAGAGAGAGAGAACATCCGTTGTCACCACGCCGGGAGACCACTGCCCTCACCGGCCTGGTTTGCAGGCGTGGCGGAAGGGGATGGGTAAGATCTGTACCCGCTCTCTCAGCCCTCTCTTTCGCCCTTGTATCTGCTTATCTCGCTCCTTTCCGTAGCCATCTCTTCCTCTCCCTGTACTCAGAGGCTCTCCCCTTTGCGTCGCCGCCTCTGGCCCCTCCATCAATGCGAGCGCCTCCCGATCCCTCCTCCTGGTCCCTCCTCCCCTCGCCGGTAAGGGGGCAGCAAGCGCATGCGCAGTCGTGCCCCTCCCTCTCCGCCCCCACCCCCCGTCGGCGCCTGGGCCTCGTCCCCTTCTCTCTGTCTCCCTCGCCTGCCCCATCACGTCCCCTGACACCGACACCCCATTGCTCCCACAGTCTCCCCAGTCTCCACTTTGGTCCCCAGCGCTGTCCGCCCGAGGTAAGATGGGGAGGGGGCGGCCCGCGGAGAAGGGGAGGGGCGAAGCATCCTGCATCCCGAGATAAACAAACCGGGGAGGGGGCGGCTGAGATTGAGGGGCCTGACGCGGGAGGAGAAGAATGGGGGGCTGGGCCTGGGGGAGGTGGCAGGCGCTGGGCGCACACACCGGGGCCCTCTGTGGGTAACGGGGGTCCCTATGGTTGCCCAAGATCCAGTTGCACGGAGGCCACTCGGGGCCCTGGAAGCTCCTAGGGGCTTGGACCCTGGAGCCTGCGGGGCACCCTCTCCAGCTGACCTCTGCCTCCAGGATTTGCCTGAAAGCTGCCCCCAACTCTGCACCTGCCCCCCGAGGGCCACCAAGGACCATGACTAAGACAGATCCTGCCCCGATGGCCCCGCCGCCCCGAGGAGAGGAGGAAGAAGAGGAGGAGGAGGATGAGCCCGTCCCCGAGGCCCCCAGCCCCACCCAGGAGCGCCGACAGAAGCCTGTTGTGCACCCCTCGGCACCTGCCCCCCTCCCTAAGGACTACGGTAACACTGTCCCCACCCTGGAATCTAGCCTGGAGCGTTGGGTGGCTGGGAAGGGTGGGCTGTGCTCTGCTGGTGGTGATGGTGGGAGAATTTCTGGGGAATTTGAAGGTGGTCCAGAGGAATCTTGGCTGCAGAGCACCCCTCGTTCATTCACTCATTCACCCATTGAAGAATGGAATTGTAATACTCCTAGTCGTTGATTCATGACACATCATTCCATCATTTAGTCTTTCAACAATCATTTATTGAAAGCGTCTGTGGACCTGGCTCTATGCTAGGGGCTGGGGCCACAGCAGGGGGCAAGAGAGAACCAGTCTTTACCCTGAGACAACTCACAGGCCTCAGTAACAGCCACACAAATAGGTATTAAACCATAATGTAATTTAGTTCACATTTAGGTTTATATGCAAGAAAGAAAAATATAATGTAATATAAATATGTAATTACAAGACATTATGAAAATTGTATTTACCAAAAACAAGCTGCTGCAAGAGTTTTTTAAGACATGGTTTCCCTGAGGAGGTTATATTTGAGAAGACTGGAGGGTGAGTTGGGGTTAACTAAGAGAGGGGTCAGGGGAAAGGGGTCCCAGGAGAGGTAACTGCTGGGTAAAGGATCTGAGGTAGGAGGGTATGGAGCTGAGAGGAGGGCCTCTTGGAGAAACTGAAAGTGTCTAATCATTGACCAAGCGATATTTATCGAGTGCTGCTACTCTGTGACAAGCCTTATGCTGGGTGCTGGAGATTTAATCCCAAGTGATCCAGGAATGATCCTCCCTTGCAGGAGAGAAGGAGAGACTAAATAAGTGAACAGATAAATAAGTCAGAAATCAGATAAATTCAGATTGGAGTGAGTGCTATGAAAGAAAGAAAAGGTGGGCCAGGTGTGGTGGTTCACGCCTGTAATCCCAGTATTTTGGGAGGCCGAGGGCAGTGGATCACCTGAGGTCAGGAGTTTGAGACCAGCCTGGCCAACATAGTAAAACCCCATCTCTACTAAAAATACAAAAATTAGCTGGGCATAGTGGCGTACGTCTATAATCCCAGCCACTCGTGAGGCCGAGGCCATAGAATCGCTTGAACCTGGGAGGCAGAGGTTGCAGTGAGCCAAGATCGAGCCACTACACTCCAGCCTGGGTGACTGAGTGAGACTATCAAAAAAAGAAAGGAAGGAAGGAAGGGAGGGAGGGAGGGAGGGAGGGAGGGAAGGAAAGGTGGGGATATGATCATGACTAGGGGGCAGCTACCTGCAGGGGTAGTCAGGGCTGGTCTTTCTGAGTAGGTGACATTTAGTTT